GATTTTTTGTTGTGGATAGACGTGTCACTGCCATGGGCCATCGTGAAAAACTTATTGCTTATTTTAAGTGCTGCGTTGCGGCGCCGCGCCGCTTAAATTGGTAGTGACGCTACTGTCGTTTCTAGCGGCGCGCGCCGCAACGCCGTTATATGTTTGGCCCTTAGCGTAGCGGCGACGAAACGCGGTTATGTGTTTTGGCCTTTAAGTTTCCACATGTGACTTCGCTCGAGTAGATTTCAGTTTTTCGAATATTCAAAAACATCCCATCTTGAGTATTTTATAAGCAGATTTGTTTGTTTCAATGTATCAGGATAGACATTGTGGACAGCCATGTAAGGATAATCCTCAAGATGAGTAACTATCTACTAAAATTGATTTTTATTTCTTAAACATTTATGTAAATTGTACCTAAGTTTTTATGTGAGATACTTAGCTTTGTGAAAGTGACTGGAATGAACTAAAGATATTATATTAAGGATGACAAGAATAAAGGATTAAGCAGCAGGCGTAACCGTAACAAACAGACACTATATTATTAAACAGATATTATATATAATATACAAATAAGATATGTCTGCTTTTATCCGTAATTGTTTCCTGAAAATGACTGAAAAAAATAACCGGGGTAGTTAATAAACCGTAGCTATGTTGAGGAGCTACCGAGATGCGCCGCTAGAACACACTCGTAAGAATGCGATGCATCCAATTTTTGTAATCTCAATTAACATAATTTCACTTTTTATCAACGAAGTGAAGGTCGTAGATCTATTACTATCTTTAAATTCAGATGGATAATGGATGGCGATGCGGCAATATTTTTATGTTACCCAAAATTTTGGGTAGGGATCAGACCTTTTGTGTAAACTAGGACAGTAATCAACTACGCTGACGCAGTGCAGATTGGTCTATTCAAATTCGACTATATTCGTTACTCTGCACAGTCAGTCACAGTATTTCCAGATCTATTGGTGATATTTTTGGATTTCCATGTAGATAAAGTTAAAATTGTCGGATTCACCCAGTTATATCGAGGTATCCACAATTGTATTGTTATAATATAACTGTTAAATGACCTATCTGTTAGACTAAATAAATATATTTTTGGTTTTAAAATACACATACCTGCAAAGGAATTTTAGCACAAAATAGACACAAACTATATTCAAGTCATCCAATATTGGCGATAAATGCCTCCCTTGTAAAGGTTGAGTCTGCCACAATCCCCACATTTGACTGACATCAGAATCACAGTTAGGTTAACGAAATCTCACAGGGTTCTGTAAGTCAATGATTTGTCGCAGTTTTAATATTTGTTAAGGTGAAAATACTATACCATAAAATTAAAAAGGTTTCCCCATAACGTGTCATAGAGTACCCACTGATTTTTGAGTATTCGTATGCAAGTGTCACGTGTGATAAAATCAAGTGATATAATTAATTATGTTGAAACAAATATGACGAGTTGATACTCGTCATATGTCGTCATCAGCATAATGTTGAAGTGGTGGATGTGGTTGAATAATAGATAATAGCTTGTTTAATTTCGTAGTTTTATTATAAATCACACAGAAAGCACATGATGGGCGCCATGCAGACGACAAAAGGGAAGAATACAGATGATATATCGACGTCTATGAGAAACTTGCCAACTTAACACTAGATGGCGCTACTTATATTATTTAACTTAAGATTATAATATTTACCTTATTACAACAGACGTCAGTATAGGAGAATAGTACTTAATTAAATACATATTGGGCTGACCTCAAATAACTAAATTGAGATAAACAGATACCTTTTAGGGGATGTCCATTGACCACGTGAGACCCAATAAAATCAATTCAACAATAAATGACGAAGCATTACCAGAGGGGCCCGATCCCCTCGTAATGCTTCGTGGTTTAATAAAATATCATTTTATTTTTATTTTTTATTTATTTATTTGGGAAAACAAACAGTGACACATTACATGATACATTATGACACAATACATAGGTCAAAGAGTATAATAAGTATAGGGGATACATAGGTAGTTCGAACAAATGTGTAACCAACGGCGTTTTCCACAGAATATAAATTAAATCATAAACACACAAATCACACAAACTTATACAACTAATAAAATATAATAAGAAAACATAAACAACATTACGCCTTTTGACCCCTGAGGGGAAAGGCAAAAGTATGATAATTATATTTTTATTTTGTGGTTATATATGGTTCAGAAAAGAAAAACAAACATGTTGAGACTTTTACAAATTAAATGAAAATGAAATGAAATCACTAATAAATCATGTGTATTTATATTTATGTCAAACGCGAGATTTTTATTACTTAAAATGGATTGTTGTTGTTTGTTTCACTTGCCTCAGCCCTCATAGCAACTCCGTAAAAAAAGTATATTATGTATTTCTTTCAACCAAATTAGAATATTTAATAGATAGAGAACTACTTGCGTTTTGTGTAATAAAAAAATACACGTGATATCGAATGAAGGTGTGAGGTTAGTATAAAACCTCACCACATATCACTATGAGGGAGGGAGGGTCAAAAGAATTTAGATGAAGACCTTATCTAAATAATTGAAAGCACCAGAAGTCGACAGGCTTACACCCGAATACTGTAAGGCTACTCAATTTTAAGTTGTACTTAAATATCGTGCCGTCTCTGTCATTTCACAAAGAATTTGTAGCGACAGAACTATAGGTACTTAAGCGCGACTTATTTGAGAGGCGTTTCAGTTTTCCTGCATTAATGACTAATTCCAAATTATATGATTGGAGTTTCCAATCATTACCAATATCAATAGATATTCAAAACAATTAGATATTGATTAAAGCATTAAACGTAATAATTAATTATTTATTTAACCTATCTGAACAAAAATATGCAAAATATTGGCTGACTCAAGCAATTAATCATATTAGGTAAATTTTTACATAATTAGCTTGTACTGTGAAGGTTTTTATTTACTTCAGAATTATAAAACAAAAAACATACTTTCCTAAGTTAATTTAGTGATATCCAATTCAATCTAATTGACTACCTACTCCACGTATTCTTAGTCCAAACAAAAATCGGACTCATTAGCAATTCAGAAGCTACTGAAAATTAAATATGTCCTAAGAAAATAGTATAAAATTGAAATAAATATGATGCAAGCAGAATCTAAAGTTCATCAGCCTGTGATAAATTACGTATCAACTGGACGTTCATCAAGGACATGAAAATTAATGCAGTGAAATCGTGACAAAGCGAAACTGAGTTTTAATAAAACATATTACTAGCTTGATATCAATACCTGCGTTATCTTTAGATAACCGTGACGCAGAGGTGTTTTATGAATAATACCTTACAAAAGTCTTCATTACGAAATGTAATAATTGTTATCCTAAGAATTGGCTACAAAGGGACCACTCGTCACGATGACCCGCCAATTAGGGATTGCATTGAAGGGGGCATAATTTTACAGTGAGCATGAGTTGACTATCATACATCACTGCCACTGCTGACCAAAGGCCTCTTCTCACGCGGAGAAGGTTTGACCATGAATGAACATGCTTGCTCAATACGGGCTGGCGAATTGAGAATTATAATTAGAAATTATTATAACTCAAGATTTTGCTTTATCTTTTGTCAGTGGTGTCTAAATAATCTTAGACAGTACACATGACTCAGAAAAAGTTTCATTAGTACTTGCCAGGTTTCGAGTGTCACCCACACCCTGATCCACCGCGACGTTACTATAATATACAGTGAAACCTGATTAAGTGAGACATCAAGGGACCTGCAATGTCGTTTCACTTATAGAGGTATTCCACTTACCCAGTGTCTCAGATATACAGGTATAAATAAATATCTGTCTCATTTACAGAGGGTTCCATTAATAGAGGTGGACTTGGTATTACGTGTGGAATTTGTGGGTATAATAAGAATGAGTAAACAAACAATTATCTCAGTTACAGAGGTTTATGCATATAAAATTTATTCGCTGTCTCAGTTGTAGAGGTAACTATGATGATAAATCGAAAGAACAAATCCCAGATATACAGGTTTACCTCGTCCCAGTAACAGAGGTAATTCAGTGCCAAAGTGTTGGGACCTCAGCATGAGTTCTAGTTATGAAGGTTTCTCACTTATCCAGGTCCCACTTAACCAAGTTTCACTATATTACCCTTTTAAATGGATTATTTTAATACCCTAATGAAACAAATGCATAGGTTTTTTACTGTTATCGGTAAGTTACGTGGCATCTATTGATACATTGATACATTGTCAGGACAAATGCCTGTGTCAAAAGATTCGATGATTCTTCAACGATTGTCAACTTAGACAATAGTAAGCATCCTTTAATTTTAAAATATGGAAAGTCAAGAGACTTCTATAGTTTTGTTTAATTGTTGTTACTTTTTTACATTAAAAATACTGAACCAGTTTTTCTGAAAAAGTAAAGTGAAATGGCAAAAAAGTCAAAGCCATATGATGGGGTTTTTTTTAAGGGGGATAATCATCGAATGACCTCTCCCGCCTGGGTGAGGCGGGTGGGAGTGTCAGACTTTTATTGACTAAAAACCACCCCGTTCCTACTCATGCACTTCGAAGCGGAGCCCTGGTAACCCGTTCGGTTCTCCGCGGCTCCGTATATATATGATAGGGGTAGAGCTTAGCCAGGGAGATACTATTTATAAAATATAATTATATACCTATATATATCTATAAGACATTTTTCAAGAGCACGGTGCGCATATTAAGTATACACGTTATTTCTCAGCACATAACGTTAAGCACACTCACAGGGTACTCCACTCTCTCACTACAGGGTAGAATGCACTAAGGGAGGGTAAATGCTATTAGATCACAATTGAGAAAATAATACTACCATTGCTATTGTAAGATTTATTTTAGGGTTCAATTATAGAATTTTGGAACAGGAGCTATAAATCAGAATATTAATTAGATTATCCATAATAATATGAAGACACAATAATATTTTATGATAATTAATATTTTTTGGAATGCACTGGGCATGCTTTTGATATCAAAGAGTCACAAGTGCATTTGGATTCCATTAGGTTTTTCTCAATATTCTCCACCAACATTTTGACGTGGCAAATGGGAACCTTATCACAATCACAATCACAAGTTTGACGTGGGTTAAGAGTATCGATTACATTTAGCGGACCATACTTAAAACTGTCAATGGGCTGTCCCGGGTAGTAAATAGAATTCGCAAGCTTAGCGGCATTTGATCTTGCTGATGTCATGGGTGCGGGGTATTCATACCATTCCAGTACATTTTCATTATAAGAGCAGACAGTTCCTAAGCTCATATTTTCGTCAAAAGTATTAGCTGTAGCGTTAACAGAGTCAAGGTTGTCATTCGAATATTTCAAAACCATACCATCTCCAGCTTTTGCATTTACTTCAGTGTCACGTGTGGTTATTTTATAATTTAGTTCTGACGAATTCAGTTCTACCCTTGTTTCAACGTTTTTGATTGGGGGACAATTAACACCAGTATCATTACATTTCTTTTGGGTACCGTTCATTATATAGGAATAGTTTTGGTCATTGGTCTTAATATCTAGGAAACCTTTCCAAAGACTATCAATTTTGTCATGATTTGCATTTACGACGGATTTCATACAGACACATGATCCTAGGTAGCCATCACAACAACAATCCACTGTATAGCCAATATAAGATGGACGAGGAGCTTCTACGTTTTCGTCTAGTACTGTATGTTTATTCTCATTTTCATTCGTATCTCTACGTTCTAAATGTGGTATTGGTTTTGTGCTGTTTATTTTGCCCGTGACAAGCGCTTTTGACAGTCCCTGGTCTACGTCAACTTGCGCTATATCATGCGTTTCAACCATTTCATCCGCTTGTCGATTAACCAAAACTTCTTTATTTCCAAACCCGTCTGGATGTTTAAGAAAGTCCACATGACCTGTATTGTAGCAACAGTCACATGTATTAAATATAACTCCATTAGATTTTGTATCGGTATCGATATAGTCCGTTTCCGTAGTTTGTGCGTTTTTACAGTACATTTCCATTGCGTCACACGATTTAGCTTCCATTCCGAAATAAGGAAGCACTTGGAAAGATGTATCTTCTGTAAGTATCATAGACTTGTTTGAATTCTGTTTTGATACTTTTGGAACCACGTAGCAGTTTTGAATTTCTTTATCATACATTATTTGTTCAATATTAGTATCTTTTTCTGGAAATTCCTTAGTCAAAACATCTTCAATGCGTACGGTTTTTTTATGTATGTCAGTATTATTTTGACATTTACAAATATCTTTCAAACGTTGAAAATCATTTTCTATCAAGGTGCAAACTTTATCTAAAATATCTGGTAAAACAACTTCTTTATTATCGTCTAAAATACAAAGGCATTGAACACGTTTAATTTTAATTTTTAAATATTCTTGTAACAGCCCGTAAGCTCTGTTCCAACTACCATTATTGGGCATGCCTGCTGGACAAGCGCATTTCATTTCATTAGCACAATCTGAAATTACTTGCTTGACTCTCTGTAAAATTGCTGAAAAAAGTTTTCCTTCTTCTTCCGGTGGTATGCATGAAGATTTACAAGAAAATGATTTGAATTCTTCTAATTTCCCTTTTAGATGGTCCTCTAATAAATGGAAAGCATTTACTTCTAATTCTTTAGAGTCATCCATATTGTAAGTATTGCAACATACGCAAGATTCCATTTTATTATCGTTGGATTTAAAACTTTGTGAATCGAGGGCTTCATCTTTATTTCGAGTGTTTGCCTTATGTGTGAAAAAGTTAGCCATAAATCCTTTAAATTCTTCAAGTTTAGCATTACATTCACACTTTGCGCCATCATTACACCCAGTTTGATTATTTCCTTCGCAATTCGCCTTTAATTTTGGTTCAAAACTTGATGGCATATTTGATACTCTTCGCCGATGTTCAACATCCTTGGAATTTGATACATCATCAGGATTGTCTTTTATAGTCCTCTTCATTTTCTTATTACTTAAGTCATCTAAGGTTACACCCAAAAATTTTATGTAATATTCACAATTATTCGCGAATAATTCTGTTTTTTGTGGAAGATCGTTCATGTCTGACTTTCGGTTCATGTCGTTTAGACTTTTTACCTGTGTGCAAGTTTCTGAAACGTTCTTTTTCATTAATTCTGGAATATCTTTTGTTTGAACCAATTGACACTGATTGGCATGTAATTGTACTTTGAACGGTTCATCTGTCTGAGATCTTTTATGATCTTTTTGCATTTCTTGATATATTCTACATTCACAAGCAGTTGTATTTATACATTTAAATCCGGCATTTTCTGAAGTATTTTCTAGATTATTGTTTAATACAAGTTCAATATTAGGTATACATTTGCAATTTTCGTTACTTTTATCTAAATTAACAGCTCCCATATATTCTGATTCAGTATTTAGAATAGACTCTCTTATCTGTTTTTGATGTTGTTGTTTGGGAGTTTCTACATGTATTTCTTTACGAATATCACTTTCTGTAACTTGATCTTTGTCACTTGCATTTGATAGCGATAAATTAATTTTTGAATCGTTATGGTTACTAAAACGCATCGACTCCTTAATGGCTGTCTTAGAATATTCACTTAAACTGCTTTTAATATTTTTCATGTCTTCAGTTTCTGTCAAATCGCATTTCCATTTGGCTAAAGTATCCAAAAGTTTATCTATAGAAGTAGTGGATGGTACGTTATGAAAACATTTGCAGTCTTTACCGCAGGGTCCTGGTGTATCTCTAGAGCTTTCTTTCAGTTCAGGGGCAGGAAGGTTTACGTTGATCGGTTTTACGTGTTTGGCAACAGAAGTTTGAGGAAGTATTTCTTTAAATGATTTTTGTTTCCATGTTTGAGATTTTCCATCATTACTTAAATGGGAGTTCTGTAATTGTTTACTATTTTTTTGTGATCCGCATAAACATAAATTAACTGCATAAGATTGGCCATGAAGATGTTTTTTACTTTGTTTTGTAGGTTTTTCATAAATAGATGTTTTTCTTGAAAAATTATTTGTATCAACATTCTTCCTTTTTACTTTATTTGGAATTATGCTTCTTGGAGAATCATCCCTAGTGTGGCCATTTTTTATATTTCGAGGCTCCTTTTTAGTAGTATCTCCAGGTAAATTGTAAACTAATGAGGAGTCTTCATTTTCCATGACCTTAAAGGATAAATAATTAAGTACATGAAAATGAACCATAATATTATCGTAATTCAAAAAACGCAATAAATTATAGTTTACCCAAGGTTCTTTAACTATTTTGAAAATTTTCTCTTCCATTTGTTTCAAATCTTCTTTCTTTATACTGTCCTATAATGAGAAACAAATAAATAAATTACGTTTGAAATTTACTTGTTTGCTCTTCAAAAATGACGAATGGAAATACAGAAACAAAATTCGAATTGTAATTTAAACACAACTTAAAGTAATCAATTATGTAATGAAATAATGGTCAATTAAAGTGGTGGTTTCCTGGATGGATATGTTGAAGATACTATGAATTCTAACTATTTATTATGTTTTGAAAATAAAATGGTAATTAATCAATATGATTAATTATATCAACGAGTGATGTGTGTTATCACAACATTTTGCTTGGAATGAGGCACGTGTTAGTTGATTAATATGTCGTGAATATTAGGTTTTTGAATAAGAAATCGAAATCGTTCAGTATGCCTATCGTGGGACCTATTTTTTGAAATCGTCACCACACTCAGAAGAAAAAGATTGATCTAGTCTGAATCTTTAAATTGGTCACATGACTTATTGTTGACAATGTTCATTCAACGTTAACCATTCAAAGTTAATGAATGACACTGCTAACCTTTTTTAGGTCTTCTATCTGAAGTCTAAGTTGGGTTACATCCTGAATGGTGCGCTTCCAGAGGGCTGGTGTAGTATCACCAGTCTGTCGACTGGAGGCAAGATTGCCACGATTAAACGGTGAGTTCGGTGGAATCAAGCATGGGAAGGCCGCAGCTAGAAATAATTTACCTACATTAGTCGTAGTAGTAGTTAGTAGTTTGTCCAAGAAATAGTCGGTGCAGGTGTTCTCGGCCAGTACGTCAAATATTAACAATATTCGAAATATTACACCAAGGTTTACAATTATCATAATTTCTTTATCCATCCTGAGGTCGTCTATAAAATTGTTTTGGCGATAAGGTGTGAATAGGTAGGTATATCATTATATCATAATTTAATCATTAACTGCCTTAAATGTTACAATCTGTTGTTAACTAAAAGTTAATTGGTATTATGCTGGCAATATTCACCATCTGTATGATTACATGGTGAACATTCACAAGGCGGTGGCCCTGTCGTAACAATTTCTTTGGCTTTCAGAGCCAATTGTTCAGCTCGTTCTTGGAACAATTGTTCAGCAAGTTGCGTTGCCATCCTCTGGGCGCGTTTTTCTAGTGCTCTCTGCTCCCAACCCTGTCTCACGTCGTCCTCGGGACCCGGTGTCAACTTCGCTACGTCAGCACATGATTCACCCACCCACTAGGCATAAAAATAAATAGTGTAACTTTTTATAAAATGTGTGAGACAATAAATGAGACTCTAATATACATATTTTACCTTTGCATGATAATTTTCGATAGATGTGGCTATAGCAATATCAAGTTCACCCATTAATAATTTCGAGAAGAAATTTCTTAAATTAGTCTTGACAGCACTGGCTCGATCCCAGTTATGTTTATCATCAAGACACTTGAGCAGTTGACATGGCATCTGCGGCCCCGAGCCGCCCAGCTCGGCTTGCAAGCCTCCGAACAGGTCGGCCAACAAGTTGGACAATAACCTGCCCCGCAAAGACGTGCACGAACACGATTCCTACATGTGAAAATAATATAGTGTTAATTGATTTTTATGTAAAACAAATTATTTTGCAACTAAATTATTTCATTTATTTCTATTGTATAGATATATACACATATATTCTAAGTCTAACATAACAAATATTCAAATTCTGTTAAATAGTAGTTTATTTCCACAAAACGGCACGGATTGACTTCGAAGACAAACATGAAGGCGTTCAAGCGCCATAACATGTAGGCCACTAATATTTTTTTAATCAATTCGGATAGATAATAGTTAGTCATCGGGCATTCAAAACAAAAGCAAACGTCACGATGACTGCACCCCATTAGCTGAAAAAGTAGGGTAGAAACCCACTATATAATCCTTACTAATATTATAAATTGGAAAGTGAGTTAGTTTGTTTGTTTGTTTGTTTGTTTGTTCCACTTTCACGCCGTAACTACTAAACCGATTGCTTTGAAATGACAATGACCAAATTTGTATGGAGCGTGGTGCCTTTTTGTTTTTTTGCGGCAGTTGATCGGATGTGGAAAAACTGATGCAGAATAACATTACAAACAAAAAAATATATGGGGTCTTATATAAAAAACACAGTCCGAACCGAGTTAAATCAGTTCAAAGATGTGAATATAGTACTATATAATGTTCATGGTGACCGTCCACAACGTATATTTTTCTTCATTTACTTGTCAGAAATATTTTGAAATAAATGTTTATAAACGATTTCAAGGAATTTATTAAAGCTTGTTGTGGACTTTTTCCTTATTTTCCTTTTTTTTTTTAATCAGAACCATTGATTCAGACATCAGAGTGAACCATTTATTGGTCACTGCTGAAGTTAATATAAAAAGATTTCGCTTAATTGGCTAGCGTGTTCACTTTATATGTTATGGTTTATGACCTACGGCAGATTTTCATGATCAATTTCCTCTCAGTCGAAAATCCGCAAAATACTTTACTGAGCCCTATCATGAAATGCTATGTATGTCAGCTGTGGCATCGGTAGCGGATTGAGTAGCGGCAGTCGTCAAAACACGAAAAAAACATTTTTCTGTCTACTTCTCCCGACTTACTTCCGATTAGTAACTAATCCAACTACAGGGTATTCCCTGTAGTAAAGTACTAATCTGCATTCAGTCGCAAAGTGATGGAATATGTATATTCCGACTGATCACATTATATGAAAAAATTATGCGCTCATCTGACGTATAGTCCATCAATTTACAAAGTCCACGGTTTTCTTTTTTCAAAAGATTATGCTAAATATAAAGTAGATGAGTCTCCCACCAGGAGTCAAAGGCAAAAAAAACTTTTAGATTTTTGGACGGCTACCACTACTCAACCCACCACTGGTACCACAACTGGCACTCATGAAGCTTCATGACACAACTCTTAGAAGCATGTCACAAGTTATCGACTGAGAGAAAATAGCTAATAAAAATTAGTGCCTGGGAATATGTATATATTGTGGTGTGATATGGTATGCCTGTGCCAGGTGTACAGTGGCGCGCAATTTGAAGTTAGGAATTGTGACAAAAATATGAATAATTTGAATAAAAAAACCAATGTTAAATGTTTGACTCCAGCTCTTTTCAACCCTCATAACTCAGTCCAGACTGAGATTTCTATATATGAGCCCATAGACAATTTCGTTTGTAATGTCATTCTAGATAATATTTTCCATAAATCATCGACTGCCGCCAGAAAAAAGAAAGGCACCAATTTTAGTCAATGCCCTTTTGCAAACGTAAAGTTAGAAGTCTGGATTAAATAATAGGGTACGTTTTATCCCGGAAAAATTGGATATTCTCGAGGGAAAACGAAATTATTGGTATAGATGGCGCTGTGTGTATTGGTATATGTCACATAGGCTACTTTTTATCCTTTTGTGACGCGAGCGAAGCCGCGGGTAAAAGCTAGTTTCAAATATTTTCTCCTCATAGAAGTAGAGGTCACAGAAGGTAGTAGAGAAGCACACATGCACAACTAGACATGTTTACATATCTGTATATTATGTACCTACCTATTGTATCTGCAAATTCTATCTTTCTAAAATCCATTTGCCCACGCAATCTCTAACTTAAATTACTTACCTAGTGAAGAGTCTTGTACAAGAAATAAATATATGAATAGTTTGGAAAAGCCGAATGACTTAATGAGATTTTGATAAAAATAATATTATTTACCAGTAGCTTATCTTCAGGTGCGCATTGGCACATGGCGGCTAGTGAAGGCGTGCGCTTTACTTCGACGGTCTCATTGACCGGCAGCTGGCATCGACATTCCAATACCTGTTCCTTCAATCCTTTTAACTTCTCCTTCTTCTTAGCCAAGTCATTCAGGCGGCCCTTCATTTTATTCTCACACAGAACCTTGCATCCTTCTAAATCTGCCACCATTTCCTTCTTCTCTTGACGTAGTTGCTCATTCTGCAAAATTCATAATTGTTCCTCTAATGATCGCATTTTATTCACATACAGAGTTATCTCAAAATTTCTTTGTATTATTTTTTGATAACAGATAGCATAGGTAATATAAAAAATATATCTATAATATAATGTACAAAACGCAGAATCATGCTTTAATAACAATAATTTAATCTAATCTAAATAGCACCACAAGGCTATTAATCACTAATTAGTCGTTACATTTCGATGGGTGACTCGTATTTGAATTGTTTACGGTAAAGAAATGAACACCACATGTCTTTAGGCCCCTGGCCATACACATAGCGAACAATACATTTTTTTTATACTTTATAGGTCGACGTTTGACCACCATCTCGCCTGATGCTAAGCGATGATGTGGCCAACGATGGAGCACGTATATACATGTATGTATATAGATAAATACTATTCTCATTGCATCCTCATAGAAGCAATTGTTAAGCGGTGAAGTAACACTTTTTGTCAAAAAGCTTTTTAAATAAGTGCTTTATGTTAAGACAGGTATCTACAAGTGCTTTAATGTTTTAAATCTAGAGGTTACTTTATTGCCATTGTGAGTTAAAAAACCAGTAGAAACAAAAAGTAACGTTATCGCTATTAAAAAATCAGGTATAGATACAGCGGCGTAATATATTTACGCTTTATCTACGTAGTAATTACATTAGTTTCTCTTCAAGGTGGAAAATACCCATCGTCTGATTAGGGTCTTATGGTACACGGGACTGTCAGATTATTATTGATTAAAAACCATTTATCTCAAAGCTTGCTTTGCCCAAATAAGTGATTTTACTTTCATTCCGTTGGAAAATTGTCAGTGGTCTAATATATTACTTCTTGGTTAAATTAGTATCTCGCAAATGAGTGTGGAGTACAAAACCCAAACAATTTGTTTCAAATAAAATAATCATTCCACTCAAGTTTGTTTGTTTGGTTGCAGAGGTTGAGAGTTGGCAGCACACAAATAAATAAATATGCTTAAGCTCTTTTAGTATCAACAGATAAAACAGTATTGTCCTGAATGATTCATCAGTGTTTAAAAATAAATTTGGTCACAAGATTAAATAGGCACTTCTATAATCTTAATTAGGTTTAATTTTAGAAACACGAAGTAAACTTGTTTCATTATCTTGAAATCAAAAGGCCTTTGATCACATATGAAGCACGTGTCTCAATATATTAAAATTTTATTACTGCTTTATTGTAGGGTAAATAGATATTTGTACAGGTCATGCTTTTACTTTTAGTCATATATACCTGGATGTAATGTGGTGATTTCACGGGGGATAGGGTAACCTACAAATTATTAAAAATGGGTATTAAAACCCGTAAGATCGTCGGTAAATATTTTTGCCATGTATTACTTTTTTTGTCGAAGAAGAAAAGATGAAAAGAATTTAAGTTTACGCCCGAACGTGACGTCATGCGATATTACAAATCAATAAATCGTCGAATGATTTTAATTTGAATTAATCTACAAGATGGGTTTTAAAAATATGTATTAAGTCCTCATCCTTCTTGTCTGTATACGTGCTTTAAGAAAACAGAAGTGTCAACCCCCGAGGCGTCCATTGGGTTATTAGGCCAGAAAAAATGTTGCGCCATAATTTCATAAATTCCTCCAAAGGGAAGAAATAATGAAATGAAATGAATTTATTTCTGTAAATACGTTACAAAGTATGAATAATGAAACCCATTACACACAGTGCTTGATTACACTACTGTTTTGTTTTTCGTTTTCAAAAATTATTTCCCAGTGTAAATCTATGGACAGAAACGACAAGATATATTTCATTAATTATGATTTTTTCTATATTTTTTTTTATAATAAAATGCTTTTGTAGGTATGGTACACACCAAGTAAGTACTCTAAATAGCACGCCATACATTTATTCCGATTTTAATTCAAATTTTTATTTGAAGTATTTATGATTAAGTGTCTGTATGAGAGAGAGTGAGTCAAATACTAGAGTCCATTCAGAAATATTTTCTTAATCAATTTATTTTTATTCTATTAGTCGTTGTATAACAAATACAAAGTATCATTATGCACTGAAACAAGTGAAAGGGTAATGAGGACAACAGTTAAGTACAAGATTGAGCACAAATCCTTTTGCACCGAATTCATATGCATAGAAACAGTATGGTTGCTCGACAATTTTTTTCAGGCACCAAAATTTTGTTGTAGTTTTGGTAGTATTATTTGTATTGCAAGTATAATATTATGACAAATATAAATTACACTTTTTTTTAAATGAAACAACAAATAGACGAATATAAAATCTCCTAATTGGCAGTAGTTTTTAGTCTTTGCAAGCAAGAGGGATGTGAGGTATAAGTTAAACATGTTTAAATAGTACTCAATTCCCATTTTTCAGAACATCGATTTGATCTATCTACAATAAGTACTCACATTCATGTAATAACAACGAAGATTGACTGGGATGTTACAGAATGATAAGGAACGCCAAACGCGTGAGTTGTTATTAGATTTTAAACAGGCGCAGAGGAACATCAATGGCGTTAAAATAGAATAGCGTAATGAACATAACATTGAATTACACTAACCAAATCATGTCCAGGATTTTAAACAAAACAAATTTGTAAGTGATTATTAAAATCCTTTGAATTATGAAAACGAAAAAATATATATTAGTACCAACTTACAATACTGTTTATTTATCAAGACACTTACTCTTATAAGGCATTAAAAATTTGTATAATGCGTACCTCTTCCTTAACCCGTACATTCGCCTCGTCCACTTGCAGTAGCTCCTTAGAGACCTCTGCTATTTGCTCGCGCAGCGCGCTCAGCTCCGCACGCATCGCCCGCTCCGCTTCGCAGGTTAAAGCACGCGCAGAGTCAACTTCGTTCTCCATCGTCATTAGCTTGCGACGAGTTTGTTCCTCTTTGAACTAAATTAAACCACCACATAAATAAACACAGGTGTTGATTGCCTTGTGACATTGCTTTGTCAGTCAATGTAAAGTACGTTTGCTCATATTTTGGTCAAGAAAGTCAAGTAATCTTTACCAAAAGGTCTCGTTCGTATTGCGCCGCTTTGCACTGTTCTTCCGCTAAGGCAGCTTCGCCTTTTGCTGCCTCCTCACTGAGTTTCAACTTCATGCAAGCTTTTTCGCATATGTCCTTCTCTACACTGGACAAATTTCCTCGCATCGACTCAACAATATCACCCCTTTCTTTCAAGTCCGTCACTAGTTTATTACAGTTGATCTTAAATTCGTTCCTTTCATCCATCATTTTTTGTATCTGAAACAATGTCATATTTCATAGTATAAGAATGTTCCCAACTTCTAAACTTCTTTTTTTGCAATTAACTCATTTTTTTCAAAAAGATAGATAACATTCGTTATCTAGTTCAATTTCTTCAAAAATAAATTAATTATATATTTAAACCCGTTATAGCTACAGAATGATAATGTTATTAAAATGTTCGCAAACTTGTCTGGAGATGTCCTCTTCTCTTTCTTCAGCTAGTTGCAGTCGCTTCAGGTAACCTGATTCGAGATCTCTCCATGCGGCTTCAGCGCGCTCCAGCAGCTGGACTCTCTCTGCATCCCGCTGAGCAAGCTGACCAGCTCGGGCACGTAGCTCATTAGTCGCCGCATCTAACTCAGCTAACCGTTCGGCGCACTCACTATCCAAACAACAAGCCTGTGGAATCAATTATTATGAAAATTTTATTGCCACGTCTTTCCCTACATAAATTGCAGAATATACTTAATATTAGCTGCGGTTTGACACAACAGACCCACACCGTCCGGAACTCTATTGACAGTTAATTTCCTTTCGAAAAGAAGCGATAGTTTGCCTGAGCTAAAATGAGGCTGCAAATTTTCAAAACAGAACTAATGGGTGAGGATAATTGCTGTTTTGTATTATAGTATTTATCTATTAATTATATATAATTATAAATATCAATATTATATATATATAAATATAATATATATATATATATATATATATATATATATATATATATATATATATATATATATATAATATAATATATATATATTATATTGATATTTTTTTCGGTATAATGTTATTCTCTTGAAGTACGACTATACTTACCGCGTCAATTTTGCTCATTGTATCTTTTTCAGGTCGTTTTGGTGAATTCTTTGATACCTGTCGATGGCAACCTTGATTTTCAAATCGCATAACAAGTTTTGTCTCTTGTGGTAACTTCACCACTGGGCCACTTGTGTGCGATCCAAAACTCCCGGCAGTTGAGGGCTTGATACCGAAGACTTTTCTTATACCGGCACCTCGATGTATATTTGTTGACTTCAGTGATTCACGTATACCACCATTTGATTTTTCACCAAGGTTCTTTTTATCGACACATTTTTCTGCACAGCTCATTTCGATAGTCGTAGGTTCAACAAATCTAAAACATTAACATTGACGCTTAGGCATACGAAATATCAGGTCAATTTAAAAAATAGGCGTCATAGTTGTAGGTATGTTAGCTTTGTTAGGTATTAAACGTCTTGTCAGTGTCAGTACGTCAGTACAATCTGGTAAAAAGCAGATAATAGCTTTATAGTAACAATTATTTATAGAGGGACGTATTCGTCGCTTGACGTACCTGTAGAGGCTGTCTGCATCGTTGTGTCCGAGCTGTTGCCAGGCGAGGAGTGCGCAGACCAAGTGCTGCTGTTCAGGGTGCTGCGAACTAACGGTGCTCAAGTCCCGGGCTTCACTGTCCAGACGTTGCTTCGCTGCCCTAATCGAACCCTACACATTGTTACCAGAATGCAATTATACTTACATACCCAAAAATTACTTATTAGCATTAGTTACAATCCAATTTGAGTTAATCAATAATTAGATATATAGTTTACTTTTAGATATTCTTGTCCTATTTCGTATTATAAATTGTCATTATTTCGTTCTTTCTCGATAAAGACAACATAACGTTACGCCTTTTATCCCCGAAGGGATAGACAGAGGTGTATATTACGGACATTAATAACATTTTACAATGTTTTTCTTTTCACTATTTATGTTATGAGTCCCATGTAATAGGGGGTGAGCCTAATGCTATTTACCGGGCACAATTCCAGCCTCCGTGCTACTACTGAGATTTTTTGAAAAAACCCAGTACTACTTTGCCCGAAACGGGAATCGAACTAGAGACCTCTTGCCCGGCTATCGCACTTGCGACCACTCGGCCAACGAGCCAGTCCCGATAAAGAATCACTACATAGTATAAAACAAAGTCGCTATCCGCCGTCTGTCTGTCCCTATGTATGCTTAGATCTTTAAAACTACGTAACGAATTGGTGCGGTTTTTTTTTAATAGATAGAGTGTTTCTTAAGGAAGGTGTATGTGTATAATACATGTATATTGTACCCGTGCGAAGTCCGGGCGGGTCGCTAGTGATTTATAAAAGAGTTTTCTGGGCCTTTAGCCAACCGCCACTTTAGCGCTTGTCTACAGAGAGAGTAGAAATCAAAATGTATGGGGATGACACTAACAAGTGTCAAAATGTACGTCAATTCCATATAATTTGGTTTTCTATTCTACATGTAGACAAGCGCTAAATGGCATTTGGCTACAGCTGCTGTACTTCTTTAAACACAGCCAAGTTACCTTAAGGTCCATACAAGGGTTTAATTCTAGTGCTTTAGTGATATTCCAAATGATAAGACTGCTCATCGACGCAGACTTGGCCAGTGGTGCGTTCTTAGTATCCTTCTTCCTGGTAGGACTGTCATCCTAAAACAGTAAGTATTTAATACTTAGGAAATGTTATATTACTTTGATCATCCCCACTATTTGCTAATTATTGCTATAATTACATTAAGCTAAAACTACTTAAGACATCACGCCTACCCCAAAACTAATTTAAGAAAATAAACAGGAAATTAAAGAATGTTGAATTATAATAACTATCGTGAGACATACTAAATTAAGTAAAAACGCAGGTTACTCACGTGAATATACTGAGAAAAGTGAAATACGCTGCTCATGAGGAAGAACCCCTCTGTGGTTCGCAACTAGTAGTGCTTTTCTCAGTATATTCACGTGAGTAACCTGCGTTTTTACTTAATGTTGAATTGGGTGTTGTTTCTAAATAATTCTTTATTTACTTGGTATTTCGTACCAAAATCACACAAATTAAAACATTGTAACAATACATAATATTGAGTAAGTAGTTTTTAAATAAGATATGTAGGTATAAATCCTCTTACTTATCTCACCTTATTGGGTTTTGTAATTTTAAAACGCTGAGTGTGCATATTATTATTTCTATTCATATCGTACAAAATTCCAAGCAAAATACTCGAGATATGCAACAGGCCTCAATCAGTTGTCTCTAAAATAATTAAATAGAATAACTGTAATCCATTCCTATCTCATAAACGTAGCAAAACGAAATAAATGTTCAATAGTTTGCAATATTTTTATGAAGGGAATTTAGTCAGACTTGTCATCTTGGTAAAATGGTTTTCAATATTTGTTGACCTCTAATGAATGCAAACTCTTAACGAAGAATAGTATTTCACCTATCTTTAATCGTAATGTAAAATGGTATCGCCAATGTGTTTAATTGTTTTAATTAATACAGAAAAGGTAGATAAAGAATACGAAGTGCCGTTTATTACGTTTCGACATTTCTTTAATTATTATGTGTCATAGGAATACAAGACTTATTTGATGTAGATAAAGTAACTAATAAATAATCGCAAAACGTACATTTCCCACACCCCTTCTTCTATCAGCACTCTTGTTACAATGTGTGCCTTCTTGATTTGTTCCCATTGCAGACGAACCAGAGTCGGTCACATTTGATTTTCCAGTTGTACAATATCCCTGATTAGGTTAGTTCATAATTGTTTTTAAGAAAATTCGCACGTATAAAAGGATAATAGCATTTTAAATTTTACACATGTTAAATTTTATTTCGAAATTCACTGAGATTGTCAGATTTGACTTTCTTGACGTTTTAGTTGTGGTTCTTTTTCTTTTCTGTGACTCCAAAACATACATGGCGAATCTACCTCCTTGAGTTTTAAAGTGTTATTTAACTTCATTGATAGAATTTTTTATATCAATGTTGAACTCCGTAAACTCCGACACAAAGCTATTTTTTGTTTCATTAAGAGACTTTTAGGTACCTACGTCTGTACGGTTTACCTCTGCACACCTTAACACATTGAATTTCGTTTTCAAAATGATTATGGTCGTAGTGAGCAGATCACTTGTTTCAAATAAATCAAATTAAAACAAACCTTATAAAGTTTTATTACAAAAACTCCGAGCGAGAACAGATTGTCATCAGAGTTACATACAGCGATTACCTTTATAAATTCTCGTCGTTACAAAATATCGTAAAGGTGATTCACCATTACGTGCATACGAGCACAATGCACTGTGGCCCGAAGATAAAACGAGAAAGAGTGATCGCACCCCGTCGGCGCCGGCGCTGGCTCCCGCCGCTAACGGTGCTGCCCTTCCAAGTACAGCATTAACTACAGCGCGGCTATATTTAGCCCAGTCACCATGCCATCTACAGCACTTACCTGCATCCAGTACTAGTCGCGTCTAAAATAGAAAAACTAGACTGCGGACTACTGCAGTCACAAGACTTCGCTATGAGATTTTAATCACCTACCTAACCACTCGAGGTATGGAGAAGACTAAAGTTATTTTAATAAAACCAACAGGCGAACTGTGAGGAAATCTCACGGAGTTCCGGTTTTATATATAGATGCGTGTGCAGATGTAGGCTCCGATGGTATTGTTCCTACATGAGAACGGAGACAAGTCGTGTTGCTTCTACGCATAAATCACTTACAAATTCAATTATTAATTACAGGAAATGTGTAAATTCCTTTTATTATATATATATAAAGAAACAAACTGATAAAGGGGTTATTTAAGTTCGATACAATATACTTATTAATGAGTAATCAAACGAATCTAACCTTAGTAAAAAGTGAACTTTAACATGTATACACATAAAAACTAACTTTAATTAAACTCTGCTTCCTATTAGGTACTCTAAAAAACCAAAATAAATAATTATATTATCCGAGACACGGCGCTTAATACTCGTACATAGTAATTAATAGACAAATGCGGAACTACCTACTCGTATTATGTATTATTTTTTGTATAATTAAATATTCTATATAAGTATCAGACTGCCTCGAGTCGAGTGGTCTCAAGTGCAAATTTCTATCGAAAAGTTTCGATTTCAATTCTGAAGACAAGCAAAAAATATCTTAATAAGCTGGTTTGGAAACTTTCTGAATATGTTAAGATAAATTAGATATATTTACCGACTGAAAACCTAGATTTTTAGAAAATTGATAGAGGTACGAAACAGGTAATAAAAGGAATAAAATGTATCTAATTTAAATTAGTTATGCATTTTAGTAGCCGATTACCATTACACAAACGTATAACAAATTGAAGGGTACTGGTTCTAGTCATCTTTATACTAAAATAGAATCATTACGATAAGCCAACTTATCATGAATGAATAATACTAAATAATAGTATTCGTTTAAAAAAACTGACTTCAAACCCCTGTTTTTTTTATTTCGCTTAGTTAATATAGTGAGACCTTGTCCTAAGCCGAAAAAACACTTTTCTGGAAACTGCATTAAAATCGGTTCATCGGTTCGTGAGATAATCGCGCACAAACGCACTTACATACAGACAGGTCAAATTAAGAACCTCCTGTTTTTTCTTTTTGAACTTGTACTTGTAATGTAATTTTTCATATATTTATGGATTCTAACAAAATACATAAGCACAAAACATAATACTTATATGCAATGCCATAGACTTCATTACTGCTATTAGTTTTTCCAAAGTTCATAGCAATAATGTCATGTATGTTCAAATTACATAATTATATTCTTCTATGAAACTTGATTCGAAGCTTTATTTAATATTTATTTCCCCAATCTCTCCAATTCCTGAATCCCCTATAATCCTCAAACTCCCATACCCCAAAAGTGGTGTTACAAGTGTGTTACCGGCCGTAACACACTTGTAACGCCACTGGTGTTCCAGGTGTCCATGACCGACGCTAATTGCTTACCATCATCAGGTGATCCGTCTGCTCGCTTACGGGCTCATGCCACAAATAAATTTTGTAATATCATTATGATTATAATGTGAATATGTTATGATTATAATGAAGCCAACTTCATTATAATCATAATCATAACATATCTGGTTAACACGTTAAACGCCATGGGGGTCACCGGTGACCGGCGTTAGCGGAGGATTTACCTTCAACAGTTTTTTATTGGCAGTCAAAGTCTTAACCATTTATTTGTCTATATTCAATCATCGATGATCATTCAGAGCATTCAGGAACGCAAAGCCGCCATGATTAAGTAACGCAAAATAGAACTAGATTCTTCTACATTGAACTTGAATATTACCTACTCATTTACTTTGTACTATTATTATACGTGCTTATACAATCGTGTCGCAGTCGACGAGCAGAGTAACCAATTGGATTAACTTGACAATCGAGGGCAAAAATTAATCAACGTGAAGATCCGTTATTTGAGAACGAACAAGTACCAATACTGGGTCTCGGTTTTTTCCAGTTTCATTGTGTGTATGTACTTCACGTTTCAATACACCAGTGTGCACGGTGCAGTCGCGACGTCGAAATCGGCCACTCGTTAAGACAAAACAAATTACGAAGGCCTCGATGTAACACCGACTTGTTTACCTTTACTACTGACCACATTTCGTTAAAAACTTTACTACAAACAAAATATAATTTTACTTCATAGTATCTTTTCATATTGATTGCTTTTATCGATTCTTTATCGTTCTTGTATCGATTTAATTGATATTAATGTATTGTAATCAGTTAGGTACCAAAAATATTAAATCTTTAGTTACAATACTTTGTTTGGAAATAGACAATAGTGATTAAGATTACTTTAAGCGTGTGCGCTCTTGTTGCAAGTGAAACATGATTATATAAATACCACATAATGGAATTAAATTGCTGATGCAAACTGTGACGATTATTTATTTCAGCGTTGGTAGCGTTAATGTTCTGAGTGTAACTTAACAGCACGCTAAAAATTATACTACGACAGAAACATCTTCTTCTTCACAATCTTTATTACAAGTAACTCATTACCCATTAGGAAAATGTGTATACAACCATCAATAAGCGTAGATAAATCATCTTTCTTTCAAGAACAATAAGCGTTTACATTAAATAATTATAATATAATAAACAGATCTTAAAAGAACTTAAGGAAAAAATCGCAAGGTTATTGAATTAATCCGTTTGTGTGTGAGTCCAGGGAACGCGTCGAGCGGCGTGGTGCCGCGGGAGAGTGCCGGTTGCCACGGCACTGGTCGTCGGCGTCAATAGACCTACGTATTGTACGGCGTATTGTTGTCAGTGGTCGGATGACCAGTGCACGGCACAATACCCACCGGAACAAATCTACTCCGTCAATAGCGTCAGTGTTGTTAGTCCCACAACATTATTACACGATGCGTAGCGTACACTCTGCCGATCAACGTGAGAAGCTTGGAGGCCGGTGACGTAGCACCACGCCTCTCGTGTTACCATCTGGAAAAATATATGATTGCAACGTCATCGCCTCCGTTCTATTGAGATTTGAGTACTTGGACTTGGCACACTTTATGAACGTAATTCATTGCGAATACTCTTTTAATAATTACAGAAGGATAATAATACCTAATACGTACTGCCTCATTGGTTGAGTGGCCACAAGCGAGACTAGCGTGTTTCTGGCTCTATCAGAAGTCTCAAGTTTGATTCAGGAGACGAAAAAAGTATTGTTGGAATAAATAAATACAATTTTAAGAACTATTCTGGAATTGTATCCGATGAATAAATTAAAACCCTTTTAAATCAAATTCCTAACATACCTACTGAAAAAATGCTGATCGAAAGTGCTGTTTGTGCACAAACCTCTAAATGCAGGTCTTCGAGGAATATAAGGCATGTCGTTACCTACAGTACTATTAAATTATTGTAAACCATATTTTTAAACATCAGTAAGTCATATAATCTTTGAGTATGTACTATGTACACACCTAGTAACATTAAGATGAAGTTATACGTATAGTTTCGAAAGTACCAGAGACCCGACACTTAGTATACAGAATGTAATTAAAAGTCACAGCATTGGTATTATTAAATAACAAGCGTGTTAGTACAAATCAATTACATAGTATAATAACGCAACATGATCATCTAGAGGGCCTTGACGAGTGCCCTCAGACATCGATGTGGTACTCCAATGGTGGTGGTAACTTTTGCAATCGACACTTCAAGGCTTTCTAGATTCATTTTCTATGCATCAAATAAAAATGAATTGTATTTGTATTGAGTAGCAGCTGTACAAATACGGCTCCGCAGAAAGACTCTAGGGATTAAATAAACAGACATAGGTAAGGTTGTGTCATCTTGAAGAACATTTAAAAGTCACCAATTTCTTGGCAGATACCTAAGTCTTGGATTAATATGTAGGGCTATGAACACCACCACTTGACGCTCTTTTACTGGTAATAGAAGTAGTACGGAATTTTTCTGATCCTTTAAATAACACCGTCTGACATACATATAGGAATTACATTTTTTTCAATCTTCAGATTCAAAAATCATATGACACAGTACCCATTTAATCATATGATATAGTATCTATTTAATAGGTACTTAATCATATTTTTTTTTATTATCCGTTAAACATTAAACTTCACATTTTATTACCCAAAAGTAATAAAATGTGGGCTGTATCTTTTTTGCTTAACAGGGTCTAATAATCCAAATGAGATAAGTATTGAGTCGTTTCTGTAAAAAAATGTCATATAATCAAAATAATACGATGAAAAATGGATTGGCGTCATTTTATGCAGTTAAGATTATTTATTTAGTAAACACTAGGATACATTATCATCATATTTTATAATTATGAGGCAATACAACCCTACTTTTCTCACAGTTGTACAAAAAAAGACTCAAGTAGCTACACGAGTATCGTAAATTAAATCTATTTTTGCGATTCACCTTGATTGACGGCATACCGCGCTGAAGGGATTTTTTACCCCTAGAATCTTGCTATAAAAATAAGAAACAGTGAACTTTCAACCGGTAGGGCCAGTACAGACACAGGTTTGTCAAGTTTTGTAGGAGTTTATCATCGAGTCGTGAAATGAAACACAACGAAGGCGATAGCTATAAACCGGAATAACTAGACCACTAAGTTCACTGCCGAGCGCTTCACTTGCATACTGGGTTCAAGAGAATCTGAAACGGCAGTTCTATTCATTAATCAAACCAAACTGACCCATTATATTGGAAGTTATCAGTTTACTTCGATATTGTTTGACAAACTAAGCCATCTTGTTAATCATTCGGTGTACCACTGAATTATTTATGCAGTGAAGCATTTTCACAGATTCTAATTGGATCTACACAGCACTATAGGTACATATCTTATTTTCAACTTCAGATTTCAGTTTCCATATCTATGAAATAACACTTGAGACCAACAATAGCTCGTCGAAGTCTCGACTGCGAAGCTATCTCAACTGTAAATCCTATTTGTACCGCCATCCTCAGGGATCAGGACCAACAAGATAATAATCCAGAAATAAAGGCTCTCTCGATAGTATATTTCTTTTCTCTTTCGTCACATAGTCACTATATAACTGATAGATAATATAAGGTAATTAATGCTCTATCAGAGAAATTTAAATTTGCGCAAAAGAACATACATAACCTTCGAGAAAAAAAAATCTAGAAATCTTAGGAAGGAATCGGTAATATAACGTGATATCGTAGGTAACATTAAATTAAAGAAAATAAATTTTCGTAATTATACTAATTTATGGAAAAAGATTCTTCCTGATAGGTAGATTATAAAAACATGTATATCATAAATCAGTTATCAATTTTAATGAATAGTTTTATTGCTAACCATGAATATTTGATACCTTCAGCGAAAACGTGTATGGTTGTCTTATTCTGCGAAATGTATAATAATGTGGAATGAAAATAATTTTCCGGAACTGATCGTTAGGTACCTGCGTATTACGCTCATATTAAAAGCTTAACGTGACGGGGCAAACTTGCTGGCGCCGTGAATTCGTAGCGCTTTTAAGTAGGTATTAATACGCATGGGCTGCGCGCGCGCAAGTCAGTAGGAGGCAGCTTGCGCTCGCTTCGTGTCGTTGCTAATCAGGCGTTTCGCCTAGTTGCCGGCTAACGTGCTACGACCGCGAACTATTACTGCACCGACAAACATGACGATTTTCACACCGAACTAACGTTGCGTGTATAAATTATAAACACGAACATTTATATAAACTTTTTGTTTTAACTTTAAAATATTTTAACTCTTAAGCCAAAATGGTTAGCGGCAATAAAGATCCGAGTGATCTTAAAAAAGTGCCACCAAAGAACCGTGAGAAGAAGACCAATAACTACATGAGAGCTAATTGGTTTTCCAAGACATGGTTCGTCTGGATGATGCCCACTTTCTGGAGGGGCTACAAGCGGGACCTCTACGACTCGGACCTTACGAAACCCAAAGAGAGCCACCTCTCCGACAAACTTGGCGATCGGCTCGAAAAGTAAGTACTTAAAATTTAAAAATAAAATATTTTTACAAACACAAAATGTATAATGTAAAAAATAGTATTCATTCCACAATTTTGCGAAAAACCCTATTCATTTTGACCTTAGGCTCAAACTTAAAAGGTGATGACTGAATAAAAAGTAAACCACAATATAACTAGCGTGTAAATACTCCTTGGTTTTTGATAGACATGTTAATAAAATCTGTGCGTCCATGGTCGGAAACACAATACCAGATACATACAGAATATCTATATATAGTACTTGGATACAACACAATTTGTTTCAACTCGTATAAATATGTAGTAAAAATGTTATCATTTCTGTCACATAATTTATTTAAATGTCACCGTCTACCAGCTTATCCGTTGTACCTAAATTGGTTCCTAATAATTTAACAGTACATTCACACTGAAATTACCTTTGGCAGAGAAACATTTAGATACTACACCGTATTATTTTCTTGTTTTTCGTATTTCAATATTTCAGGTTGCTTTTATTTTGCTAAATAATTAACCGGTTAAATACACCGATCATCACGATAACTTTCATTTTCTAAAATTTTTTCCTATATTTTGTACATAAGTATGTTATGCTGCTGATTCCGTTCTAATTACTATTTGTTAAAAACAAGAAGTGATTCTTGGTAACGATTAGAAAACTCGATTTATAAAGGATGTATTTTTAATAGTGGCTGTTTATCAGTCTACATCGATTTATTATTTTAGTCAGCATTTAGAATATTTTCACTATCAATATTAATTTGCATACAAAATTAATAGGAAAATGCAATTTATGGTCATGGAAATCAGTTCAGCAGTTTTTGAATAACCAATCATATATAAGATAAATATTTCATGGTTTATTATATTATGACAGACGTTCGACAACATGTTAGTCACAATAAAAATGGTTTTAAATTAGTATTAGATTATATTTTTTTTATTTTGTTAAAAATTAAATAATAAATAAAGTAACAATCGTAGTAAAGTAAACTAAGGTGTTTTGTGTCCTTCAATAGTTGTCTCATTGTATATGACTCTGTTCATGACAAAAGTTGACATAAAGTCGAGTAGGCGCGACCGATGCAGTTGCAAATTAACACCTGCGACACTCGCACAATAATGGAAACTTTAATGTTTTCCACCTTTGTTTTATAAAATGAACTCGTTTAGAAGTAACCGATGATAATTTTCTCATGAAAAATATACCTTTCGATGCTGAATTCTAAATTACATGGGGTCAGTGAAAATAAAATTTGAGTTTCAAAATAATCTAAGTTACGATACAGATTAAAATCATGGTTGAATATACAATTTGGGTTTACCTTAAGGTCGCCTTTTTTGAGGGGGGGGGGGATCATACAATGACTTCTTCCGCCCGGGTGAGGCGAGAGGGAGTGTCAGACTCTTACTGACTAAAAACCATCCCGTTCCTACTCCTGCACTTCGAGCCGGAGCCCCGGCAACCCGTTAAGTCTTCCGCAACCTTAAGGTCGTCTGGACTGACTATTTTTATGATCAGCAGCTGTAGCCAAATGGAATTATATGGAATTGACGTAAATTTTGACACTTGTCAGTGTCATCCCCATACATTTTGATTTCTACTCTCTCTGTAGACAAGCGCTAAAGTGGCGTTTGGCTAGAGGCCCTGATCATTGAGTTCATCATATTTTTGTTCGCGTAAAAAACAAAAGATTGAGTCAAAGTCACTTATGTCTCATCTATACTAATATTATAAAACTGAAGAGTTTGTTTTTTTGTTTGTTTGTTTGAACGCACTAATCTCCGAAACTACTGGTCCGATTTGAAAAATTCTATCGAAGAAGGCTATAAGCTATAAAATATCACGCTACGATTAATAGGCACCGACCAGAGCGAGTGAAACCGCGCGGAAGTAGCTAGTGTTAGATATTCTCCGATAGAGTTGTTACTAGACTTGATATAATATGGAATTTCACGCATTCAACCGTAAAGGTCTTTCATTCTCATTTTCATCATTTGCGAGTTCATACTTCATACCATAATATACTAAAACATACCATTCAAAAGATTTATCTTTGATTACTATTACAAATTCAATTAGATTATTAGCTTAATAAAAAATTACTCAGCGGCCATTTAGAATTCTTCCGCTGAAGAGACTTTTTTTTTGTTAATTCAATACCGTACCTAAACAAATTGACCCACAATAACAGTAATATTAATTTAATCCTTTTAATGTGCTGTTTTTGTATGAAAGTGACCTTGATAAAATTATTTATTTTCGTATGTGACTCACACGTATCGATAAAGTACAAAATTGATAGTACTTTAAGTAAATTAAATGTCATTTACAAGCTCATGGAGTGCATCGAAACGGAGTTGAAGTAACAGTTACTTTCACAGCCGCATCAAATATGCAATGAACTCAATTTAGGTACTTGTTATCTTCCAGATTATATTTGTAAGATTAAAATTACCGATGGGCATTTAAAAAAAACGAACATGATCATAACATAATATCACGCCCGTTATTCCCGAAGGGGTAGGCAGAGGTGCACGTTATGCCACTAAACAATGTAACACCCACTTTAAACTATTGATGTTATGAGTCCCATGTAATAGGGGGTGAGCCTATTGCCATATACCGGGCACAATTCCAGACTCCGAGCTACTACTGAGAATTTTTTAAAAACCCAGTAATACTTTGCCCGACCTGGGAATCGAACCCGAGACCCCTTGCCTAAAAAAGTGGTTAACATATTTTTCTATGCATCCTTGAAACGGAGGCGGAAATGTTATACTACCTTTTTATTCGACTTCTTTTATCCATTATTAATTGTTTACATATTTTATAGCAAAAGGGTTAAAAAATTATGCAAAATCTTAACTTGTTAAATGACAACATTAAAAATTGCAATTAAAATAATTTATGCTTAGATACACATCCTTTTCCCTACTTTATTAAATATTAAAAAATTAACAGAATAATAAACCTGCCAATTATATTTCCATCATAAAAATGACTGATTTTTAATTTCAATTCAATTTATTCTCATATAAAATATTTCATATTGTACAACCATTTTACAAATAAACATTTCATGTTAGAAAGTAGGTATATTAATATGAAAATACAAACAGTTTCACAAAATAAGTTGAAAACATCCAAATATGTGACACAATTTTGTCAATTTTGACACATTTATTATAACCCATACATAACACTCATATCATGAATTTATAAAAATAACTTACACTTGTTTAAACTAAGTTTCAAATATAATTAAACACATGTATGACGTCAGAAACTAATCATATTTTAGTAAAAATTTCAATACAAAACACTGTAAGTAGCAAGGTCATTCATTTCCTTTGAATAAAATCCCTTCAATTAAAAAAAAATCAAGTGTTGAAATTATACTGACTAGCATCGTGGGGCTCCGAAGTAGGTCTATCAGAGGCCCTGGTGCTCCCTATAGATGATAATGGTAACCATCGGGGTGGTTTTAGTGACGCAAATGTCGCACACACCCTAGTTTTTATCCTCAACAAAAACTAAGTGGTCTTTTGGAGGTTTCCCTCGTTATCACAAATAAAATCGATTTTTTTTTTAATTCTTTGACTGTTTAAAACAGTGATAAGTACTTATTATAATGTAATGAAATACACAAAACCGGTTGGATGGTTCCGCGTTTTTGTTTTAACGACGTTTCGTGCGCCTCTCTTAAAGTCAGCTCTTCTCGAATAACTTCACCTAAATACCCACTCTCGTGCATTACATCTGTTTAACAAATTAACTATTAAAACTTGGAAAATAAACAAGGATAACGTTCGGAAAAGATTCTTACACATTATGTACGAAATAGTTATTTTCCCTTACGTTTTGTATGGAGTAACTTACTGAATAGATATAATACGAATTTCGAAGACGAGTTATTTGTCGGATTAACAGCGATCAAGCGACATAACAAATTATCACCATTTTTAACCGAGTTCCCAAAAAGAATTCTCGTTCTCAATTGAGCTAGCGTTAGCATTTTAATATAAACATTTACGACAGTTTATATTTATAATAATTAATGTAATATAGACGTAGTTTTCTCAGAACACGTATTTGTTAAAAAAAGCTACTAATGCAAATAGTGGGTTTATTCAGTAAAAAAACGAACACAACAAACGACGACGATAAGATGAAACAAACGGATACGAACCAAAGCTGCAAATAATTTTATTTGCATGTAATTTTATGTTCATATACATTCAATGCAATATGAATTATGTTCATACCTGATTGATGACAATAAACAACTCATGTCCTTATTGGTTATTTAATTAATAGTTATAAATACGACAGTTAAAATCAAAGTCCAGGGGTACCCGTCCACTACAAATTTTTAATTCTCAGAGATGTTACTGAGAATTATATCTAAATTAAAAACTATAATTTCAAATTCCTCTACTTAACGTATTCCAGAAAGAATATATTATATTTCGTATTAAAAGCTAGTAATGTAATTAGGTAACTGTCAGAAACTATAATAAAACTCATAACTCAAGACGTTTACTTCATCCCACGGGAAAAACTAACTTTCCTTCGGCCTTCGACCCTTCGGTATCTGTTAAACTAGATAACTACGTACCAATCTGTTAACCTTTAACCAGCTACGGTCAGTTTGTAGTGGGCTATACTAGAGATAGAGTTTTGTATCGAGCTTATTGTGTCAAACATCTAATTCAGTAACCGATGAAGTTACAGATAGATCATAGAGTTAGCTGATTATTGTGATATCGCCATTACCAGCTAAGTCGAGACAGATGTACTGTATAATGAATCTATTGGTTGTTTTTTTTTATATTTGATAGGCCGACGTTTGACCACTATCTCGCCGACTCTCTATACTCTATACTCTATTTCAACAATATCAAGAGCTCATGATAGTCCTAAGCTAGATTATGAACCTCTTTACATAAGTGAGTTTGCCGTAATCTTCGTGCATGGCAGGCAGGTCGGA